GGTGGTAGGTCGGTCAAAATTGCAAAGCTTAGGTCACCGATTTTGATGGATGCATCTAAGGTCCACCTCTGCGAATTAAGTAGGTGTATAATTGCAAAAAAACAGTTCACCTTTGATCATAGTGTAAGAACCATGGTGAATCATTTTAGGACCAAAAGTTTGGTGAAAGTGACATACCCAATATCATCTTCAATAAGTGAAACGGTAACCTTACTAACGTATCAGGTGATCAACCGTGTACTTGCAACCAAAACTTTCCCAATCATCGTTACATATATTCGCTAAAATGTTTTGAAAAGACATGCTTTATTAAAACTATGGTGCATATGCAGCTGTCATATGTCCACCATCAAAGTAAAAGTAAAAGCAGTAATTAGAACACTTAGAAGTGCACGGAGTCTCTGTATAAATCGCAAAAATAACGGTTATTTAAAAACGGAACAGTTGGACAAAAATAGAAAAGTTCCCGGGTTTTTACATGGTTGCTTTAAACTGAGTAAGTGTGAAGTAGAATTGAGCCTAAATACGGAAGTACCACATGAATAAGCAGTTCCTACGCTCCGATGTGCGGGGAGATCGAGGAGGTATGTCGAGACGAGAATGAACTGGTGAATTCTGAACTTAGTATTCTTTTGAAAAGTTCCACAGAACACATTTTAAATACAACAGAGAGTGGAGAATAAGCTCGTTTTCACAATATATATATATATATATATATATATATATATATATCAGTACTCAACTATTTTCCAACAATTCCAATTGAAATTCCACTTGTCTGCAATTTACTGTTTTTTTAAAGGCTTCATACAGTTTTTCAACTGCTATGTAATTGTTGGATTCAAGGTGAGGTTGAAGTGCTTAACAATCTAATTACCTATTCCGAACAAATCCTTTACCTTTCAACAAAGTACGGGAAACCGTTAGTATTAGCGAGAAGAATAACTGGGGAAATGGAAGATAATATAAGTTTGGTTCGCTTGTCCCGGGCAGGCATTTCTCTGCTCTAGAGAAATGATAAAACGGAATTCCTGGCAGATTCTATGGGTTATTTTTTCAACCTTGAGTGGATATTTTTAACTGTAAATCGCGAAATCAATCGAGACAGGGTTGTTTTTCAGCTGCTCTACTATATCTATCGTCGATACGCCTGAACCGTTTTCCGAGGCCCCTTCAACACTCTGTAAATGAGGCACGCAC